ACGCGATTCCGTGATGTGGCTCCCACGGTGGACGGCAGTGAGGAGTGAGCGATGCCGGCTGACTCGCTGCTCCGCCGGCCACGCCCTGGGCTCGTCGCATGCGCCAGCTGTCAGGGGCTCGGCTCGGCCCGGCCCTGCCTCGGACCGGCCCCGCCCAGCCCGGCCCGGCTCGGCTCGGCTCGGCTCGGCTCGGCTCGGCTCGGCTCGGCTCGGCTCGGCTCGGCTCGGCTCGGCTCGGCTCGGCTCGGCTCGGCTCGGCTCGGCTCGGCTCGGCTCGGCTCGGCTCGGCTCGGCTCGGCTCGGCTCGGCTCGGCTCGGCTCGGCTCGGCTCGCTCGGCTCGGCTCGGCTCGGCTCAGGTCGGCTCCCAGCTGCGCCCGTGAACCGGCCAAGGACAGAACGGACAATGACTAGCCCCGGAAGCACGCAGAAATCTGCCTGGCTCCTGGAGCGACATCCAGGGCCGGTCCCAGTCAAACGCGAGCTAGTTAGCGACGCGACATTTCGAACAGAGCGTTTGGTGTGATACTCGGCTTGTTCATTATTGCCATTTATTACTTTGTAATGCTCCCGCTGTTATATTTTTTCAGATGTAACAGCAGGTGCAGCAGAAGTCGTAGGCCATTCACTTGCACTGGAACTAGCAGATAATTGGTTGGCATATGTTTGCGTGTATGAAATCGCTTTTTATGTGGGGCGGACCGGACTCGGAGTCCCGGGGGCCGTAACGCACGACCCTTTCACTCGATCGGCCGTCGCGTTTGGGAACGCTCGTGTCCGGATATTGCCTGGGCGGTCGTGCCGACTGCAGCTCCCACGGCGCTCAATAGGCGAGGCAGCCGAATACCGCCCTCGTCTCTGGCCGGCACGGCGCGCGCGGCGGCGCTCACGGTCGGGCCGAAGGCAAATCGGCGCACTAGTGAAGGACCGATCCCTGCACGGGCCGCTGCCCGCCTGAGGGCCGGTGGGGGCCGGCGGCTGGCTGGCTGCGGCCGTGTCAGCGCTGCAGGTCGAACCTTTTCTTCGGAGTGTGCCAGCGGTCTGGGCTGTGGAGGTTGATGTGATGTGCCGGTGCTGATGCCGGTGCCCTCCGTGCCTCTGGCTGTGTCGGTACTGGTGCCCTCTATGCCCTGGTCGTGCCGGTACCGGCGCTTTCCGTGCCCCTGGGTGTGCCGGCTCCGGAGGGCACCGGTGCGCGTGCCTGCAGTCCCGCTGGCGCCGGCGCCCTCCGTGCCGGTGCCCGCGCTCGGGCGGCGGACGTGGCGCGGCCGGCGCCGCCTCAGCACCGAGCTGCGGTCGGCCTGCTGAGGGGGCGCTGGCTCAGCCGCCGCCCGGAGCCGGGCGCGCTCCCTGACCCACCGGCGGTCACCCTGACATTGGCACCACATCACGGAGTGGGCCGCTGAGCTGGCCCGGCGAGCTCGGCTTCGAGGCGGCTTCGGCTCGGCTCAGCGCTCGCCGATAACGGCCCGGCCGAGCGCCCCGTGTCGAGAGACGGCTCAGGCCTGCGGTGATGGCCTTCGGCTTCAGGCCACCTGGATCCGCGTGTCATGTCGCGCCAGTGTCATCTGGTGTCACAACGGTGTCAAATAGGCGCTGATGGTCATCCTGAATTAGTGAGGAACATTGTACTGAGTTGTGCGGCCAGACATTGCGCTCGGTCGTGCAGACTGTGTCTTTCCGCCAGCGTCAGGATGGTCTGATTCGTTCTTTATCCTTGGCTGCGTTGACTGGTGACACTTATCACTATGTCTTTGCCCACTGTAGAGCCAGTCACCAAGCGTTCACATCTTGCCTCTGAATATCTTTGTTTAGGTCCGTGGCGAGAGTGTTCGGCGCCGTCTGCCTGCTCAGCCGTGAGCCGATGCGCCGGATGGTTATCGGCTGCTTGACCCAGTAACGGCGGCCCCGCACTGCGGCTCGCTCGCTATCTCACGCTCGGTCCGTCGGCGGCTTCTCTGTGGCCGGTCATGTCCGTCGCTGCGGCTGTAGGCATGGCGCTTGGGTGGCAGTCGGACTGGCAGTGCAGCTGCCAAATCAAACCTCTCGCTCCGAGTCTGGCCGTCACATTCAGTCAGGCGTGACGGGTGAGTCGCGTCCGAGCTCGCGGCGTGACGCGGTGAGTCGCGTCCGAGCCCGCGGCGTGACGCGGTGAGTCGCGTCCGAGCCCGCGGCGTGACGCGGTGAGTCGCGTCCGAGCCCGCGGCGTGACGCGGTGAGTTGCGTCCGAGCTCGCGGCGTGACGCGGTGAGTCGCGTACGAGCCCGCGGCGTGACGCTGTGAGTCGCGCGCTTCGGCGAACCACGAAACTCCGCCGCGCCCTGCCCATCGCGGCGTCACTGAAGTGAAGCGTCGGTCTGTGACATGACGCTGTGAGTCAGATAAGTGACGCCGCGCGCCGGACCGGAGCTACTTGTGCCCGGGGCGCCCGGCCGCCCGCCTTCGGCCGGCAGCGGTGTGGAGCGGTGACTCAGGGAGCGCGCGGCCGTGCGGCCTATACTGTCTGACGCTGCAGGTGTGTACAGTCCAGCGAACAGTACTGGAGCGGCGTCGCTGGGCGGTGCTGCCGACGTTGTGCTCTGCCAGTCTGTTATTGTGTGACGTCACGCTGTGTTCTGTGGTGACGTCAGTCTCCTCGCTGGTCGTCAGTCTCTTCGCTGGTTCTCTCCGCTGGTGAGGTCGTTTTTGTGCTCCCGCGCCAATACGCTTAGTTGCCTGATGGTGTCACGCTCTGTTTTGAGCTGGCATCAATTTCTGTCGTCCTGTTTCGCCATGTTTCGTCGTTCTGTCACGCGCCTTCGGGCAGGTTTTTTATTATCTGCTGGACTCAAGTTCCGATCTCCGGTGACCGGCGACGTCACGCACTGTCCTTATGTTCCGTCACGCTCTCAGACCGGGCCAGCATGGCTGATGCCGTCGTGTTCGGTTTCCTTTGGTGAACGCTTGCGCTGCGAGGAGGGCCGGCCACTAAAAATACGAGCTCAGACTTCGCCGGACGACTGCCTTGCAAAGCGTGCTGACTGGACCGAGATCGGAGGATTAACGGTAGACCAGCGCGCTGTCGGCGCAGCGTCCCGCCGCTGGCGGAAGTGGGCTGGAAGTAACGCTGGTCTGGTCCGTGAGCCGTTGCTACAGCACCAGCTGCAGCAGGCAGCCGTGGGGCGACAGGTGTTGCGCTGGCACGGCCTCCGCATCGGTCTGCCGCGGCCGCCCTTGTACGGGCGACGGAAAGGTGTCGCGGGGAGGTCCGCTGCCTGTGACATGCTTCGCAAAGCAGGCCGCCGGGTGCACCGCGCTGCGGCGGCGTGGGGTGCACGCCTGGCTGAGTGGGGTGCATGAGAACGCCGGATGCTGCATGCAAATGCGGTGTGCTGTACCCTGCAGCTGTGCAGTGAAGCATGATGGGGGCGACACATATAAATCTCGAGACCTCACGGTTCATGGGCTCGCCCGTAGCCTTCACTGCCGATCTGTTTAGTGGCAGGTCGGGAGGCAGTCGGCGTGTCCAAATCGTGGCTCGGGCACGGCGGCGACACTCGGCCACTGTGGGCGCCGTCCCAGTGCGACAAATCGGCTGTCAGGTACCTGGCGGGTGGGGACCAGCCACGCGTCCAGGCCGGGTGTCGAGCGCGGTCCAGCGTCCGAGCCCACTAGCGCCAGTCGCTGGTCCATTCCGGACCTGAGAGTGGAGCGGGTCACTGCCCCATAGCGCCCGATGTCAGAGGACCCAACGCTGCCCCGTGGTATCGCGTGCCGCGCCCGTCGGCCCCGACCCCGCCGTCTCACGGCCGTGCGTGCCGCCGGACTGCCGCGACCTCGGCTTCGGCCGCGGCTGACGGTCCTGACCTTGCTGTCCCCGTGCATTGGCACGCTGCGGCGACCACGTGTGCCCGTGGATCCGGTAACACTGATCCTCCGCGTCCGCCTACCCGATGGAACAAACCTCGCTGTGCCGTGGATCCGGTGTAACAAATGATGTGCTGCCGTGTATTTTGATAACCGGCCGGTCGCTAGCGCTCGCTGACTCACTGGGGCTGAGGAAACGTGCCAGCCAGCGCCCTCTACGCCGGTCCCGTCCCGCGCATCCCGTCGAGAGCGCCCCCTACACGAGCACCCGCCCAGGTACGCCCCCTACGCGGATGCTTGCGCTGTGTGTCGGCGCGAGCGCGTGCCAGAAGGCGGCGCGTCGTCGGCGTGAGTTGGCTGATGGCCAGGGCCTGTTCGGAGTGCGGCAGATGGCAGGCACGTGACCTTACCTCCGGCTAATGGCAAGGCCGGCCGCTGGGGGCGGGGAGAGCTAGAACTGGCCCGTGGGATCAGCGGTCTCCGAGCACGCGTCCGAGTCGATATTTGTATTGGGGTTTTCCTTCGTTCGTGCTTCGTTGGACACTTGCTCGCCCTGTTTGAATGTGTGGGATGAACCGCTGCGGGTTTTCCCAGCCAGCTGGCAGGTGGCGCCTGTTGGTCGCAGTCGCCACGAGGACAAATTAGAGAACAGGCTGCCAGAGCCGGACCTCGGGCCTGGGTGAAGGGTTGGTCGTTTTCGCCGCTCTAGCAAAGGAAGAGGTATATGAAAAAGCAGCTCCTAGACATGTATCATGCTGTGTGCTGCAAACGGGATGTTCGAAAATTGTTGGCTCAAACGGCCTCGTGAATCCCTTCGATTACGAGGAACGGTATAGCGGGCACGCCACACCAGCCCGTGGTACGCTGCACCAGCCCGTGGTACGCTGCACCAGCTCGTGGTATGCTACACCAGCCCGTGGTACGCTACACCAGCCCGTGGTGCACTACACCAGCCCCTATTATGTTGCACCAGCCCGTGGAACGCCGCACCAGCCCGTGGTACGCCGCACCAGCCCGTGGTACGCTACACTAGCCTGTGGTACGCTACATCAGCAAGCCAGTGCGCCCCAGTTATGCCTCTCCCACCCGAGTTGCGCGTGTCTTCCTGGCGACTGTCATGACCGTTGACTGACAACGTACCTCTGCCGCGTTGCAGACGGAGGGCGCGTGGTAGCGGAGTGGCGATGGGCCTGCCGGGCTGACGGCCGCGCCCCGCCCGCCTCACCCTGGCGACCATTTCGGTGTCGTCGCTCATTATGGAGATGCGGCGCGGCAGCTCGCCGCTCTCGTCCGGGCCGCTGTTCAAGCTGGCCGCCTCGCCGACCGGCTACCTGGCGGCGCCGGGCCTACTGACGACGGTGGCCGGCCGCGCCGCGCTCATCAAGCAGGAGCCGATGGTGGGCTCGCCGGAGCCGGGCCTGCCGCGTCGGCCCGGCCCCGAGGAGTGGCTGCCGTCGCCGAACCAGACCAGTCTCGACTCGACCTCGCCGTTCGGCGCGCCGCCCGGCGGCCAGACCGGGGCCGGCTTCTCCGTGTCGCCCATGTCGTCCAGCAGCTACGACCCCTACTCGCCCACGGGCAAGCAAGGTCAGTGCCAGAGGCCGGGGCCTTGGACGGCGGGGAGGGAGGCGGGAAGTGGCGAGCCCGCCCGCGCGCCACGGCGCCAGATGGCGAGCGGTTTTTGCCGCGCGGGGAGCCTTTAAACCGGGCGGCGGGCGGTCGCGAAGGCGGCACGGACAGGTGAATTACCGTGTGACGTAGCGCAGAGGCCGGGTGATTTGTTCCATCGGCCGGCAGCGGCCGTGCCGCCCCAGCTGCGCGCTCGTCTCGGGGCCGGCGAGGCGTCTGACTGGCCGCCACTTGGGGCGACGTTTCAGAGGTGCCGCGAGCGCGGCACGCGCAACGCGTCGGCGCGTTTTTCCCGGCACGTTTAGGGCGTGCACACGTGAAACGGAACAGATATTAATGATGTTCTCATCGCGGCACATGTTTCGCCCGGTCCCGCTCCGTGCCCCGTGTCGCTTTTTGCGGGAGGCCGTTTCCTTTTTGTTTCCCCCTTTTAGGTTTTGCTATTTTGCACGTGCAAAAACTAATGGGAGCAGTTAGTGACACAATGTATCAACGGGTGTTACACATTTCCCGAGATTTTCGTTGGGGCGACGATTGTCGCTGGCAAAAACGGGTCGCGTCTCGACACTTCGGTTTTTGGACGGCGGGGAGCGGGCGTTTTTGCAGTCTCGGGTGCGAGGTGCCGTTCGTCTAATGCGAACACCATTTCTGCATAGACGTGACTCGGGTGGCTCTTCTTCCCTTCAGCGTGCCAGCCGCTTTTTCGCACGACCTCGTGGAACAGGATGGGCTGCGAATGAGGGATTACATTGAGCGAGGTCTTGAGAGCAGCGTGTAGCCTTGCCCGCGGCTTTGCTGCTCCAAATGTCGAGCGGTTGGGACGAATGCTGAATCGCAGGATTCATGCTCCATTGGAGTGTCTCAGTGAGCTTCTGAATAGAGTGCACTGTTGCATGTGTATGCAAAACCGTTCTAAATATGCTTCTTTCTGAAACTCCTGCATGTTTTGTTCCTTTACAAGCTGATTGAAGTGATGGGGAAGTAATGATGTCTGTGAAATGGCTCTGCTGATACCGCTGTATGGAGCGACGGCTGATCCAAACTGGTGGGACCTGGAAGTAAAATGATAATTTCGTTGAACAGGGAGGTGGATAGTCACGATGCTACGGGTTCGTTTATAACTACTGGAATGTGTATATTGATTTTAAGTTACCGATGCGATGGCTGAACGATGATTGTATGGCGCTTGTACGATGAACCACAAAATAATAATTATATTAATCGTCTTGAGGTCCTATGCTACATTTCCATCGACTGATAACACTTCAAGCGCACCTTATAGTGTGAAGCTGCTCTCAGCCCTTGGGCGAGAAGGAACAGGCCTGGCATATTTTCGTAATATGGCTTTTTGTGCTCTGACCTTTTCCGACCGCGTGCGCGCTGGAACCCATGTATCATGGCAAGTTTTTACCGGCCCTCTCCCGCGGACTGGGCCGTATTTTTCCGGAGATGGCGACCCTTTAGCGGTGAGAAATTGCCGGTGTCGGCCGCCCTGTTGCGTGCCCGGCGAGGATACAGATGGGCCGCCCCGCCCCCCCCCCCCCCCCGTCGACGGTGTCGGTGACGTCACGACTGAGACAGGGGGAAGGGGAGGAGGTACGCAGGGGGACAGGGCGGGGCTCGGTGCACGCTGCTGGCGATCGGCGGCGATCCGTCGCGCCGGCCGCTTTTGGGCCCATTCGGATTATTAACTGCGACGGTCATTGCTGAAAGCGCACGCGCGTCGCAGTCTTTCGCTCTGATGTCAAAAAAAACCCGAGCACGGTTGGTGTGAGCCGCGAACCCGCAACCTTTGGGTCGTGAGTGCGGCCGCGCCGATGAGCCAGCGTGCCGGCGGCCTCGGGACTGCATCGGCGGTGGGACCTCGAACCCCGAAGCGAAACTACGAGGCTGTGAATTTAACTGTGAGCCGTCGGCTTTCACCGTATAGCGGTGGGGAGGGGTAAAAACGTCCGTGCGGGGGTCGACCCGTTCCCCGGCCGCTGATATGATATCGGGTCCGGGCGCCGCGCGCCCGACCGTTTTTACCGCCGGCAAAAAGTGACTTTGGAGAGGACAGCAGGGGAGGCAGGGATTCCGGTTGTGGGGAAATCATTGAGTGCCCGCCTCTCGCCGGCTGGACGTGAAATAATGACGGGAAAAAACGCGCGCCGCAGCCGGGCCGTGAGCGCGCCAGTCCCGCGCGGCGCGCCGCCGACGGACGCGACTAGCGCGCCGCTGTTTTGTCCCCACGACCCCCCTCCCCCCGTCATTGTGTCTGGCGGACGTGCTGGCCCCTGCGGCAGGCGGTGCCGTCGGGCTGCGCTCCTGTCTGGTCCCGATTCGCGGCCATTCGGCGCGGCGCGGCTTTTGACATTCAGATCGGCGGTGTCTAGACAAACGTGTTCAGACGAACAAAGCAGCGGATATGGGGGCACGAGCTTTTTGTTCGGAATGGTGTAATCGTCGTGAGATGCGGGCTCGGTGATATTACGGTTTTAACGGTGCGTTCAGATTCGCCGAGTTTCCTTTACACGGGTCGGGCACACAAGGGCGGGCACAGTCTGAGCTCGGTAAGTTCGCATCACGACCATTTTTAAAGCTTCTGTTGGGAGCCATCCAGGGTGAAAAGCAAACAAAAATCTGAACCTGAGGGGTGTTGGGGGTGGGGCCCCGCCCCTTGGGTGCGTTCTTAATACTGGTTGCATGCATCGCGTGCCGTGTATGTTTTTAGTTTTATTTTATGCAGCACAGCAGCTACCCTCGATGGCTGATGGAACTTTCTGCAATGCAGGTTCTCTGTTATACATGAACCGCCGCAATCGAATCTCGCATGTAACAACCATCTGCAGTCCATTCTCATTTGCATAGTGGCCCGACTGGCGCCCCTGCCAGCCGGCAGTGCCTGCATCTGTATGCCCCGTAACTCACTCTCCCCTGCGTATCCCAGCCGGCATTCGGTTACCCCTCCCTGCGCGTGCGTGTGTGTGGGGTGAGGCGTCCCTGCCGCCCGTGGCCGGGTTTACGGCCGCCGTGCATGCCGGCCGCCCTTGTCCTCTGTCCTGACCTCTGCCGCGGCCGCCTCGCCTCGGGCGCCGGTCGTTGAACCGGCGGCGTACCCCACTAACTGAAATACGGCGGCGGCGGCGGCGGCCTTTTGTTTTGGTCCGGCTCCGTATGGTAAACGGCGGCGTAGCGGCGCGCCCTCCCCTCCCGCCGGCGCCGCGTGACGCCGGGGGCACTGCGCGTTCGACGGCGGCGCGCCGGGCCCGCCGACCGAATGGCGCCGCCGGCCGTCAGGTCAGGTCAGGTCAGGTCGGTCCGACATCGAGGACTCCCGTCTCAACGGCAGAGAGCCTGTACAAGGCCCGTGCGTAGCGGTCATTTTGAGGATGAAATCATGCCCAGACGCTGAGGGGGGGCTCGACGCTTTGCACCGTCTGGCTGTCTGACGTTGGAGCGCTCCCTCCCTCCTGTCGAGGGCTTAGGGCGCGTGCGGCGGCTCCGCCGGTGTCGGGGCTGTCGGACGCCGGCGGGACTCCCCTCCTGCCGTCGGTGCCGGCTCCCGCGGCGCCGCTGTGCGACCAATCGACTTCCCTCTCGGCGGCGGCGGCGGTGGCGGCGGCAGGCACAACACGAGCACGGACCGTCGAGCCGGGGCCCCGCGGCGCGCCGGCTGCTCGTGAGGCCGCGTGCAGGCTGCACCACGCAGCGTTCGATCTCAGAGTTCCGCCAACAGTCGACGGCTGACTCGTGACTTGTTCGTGATTGAAATCGGCATCGATTCGACACGATCCACCGCGCGGCTGCTGGGCCCGCCGCTGGCCGGCATTCAGTGCGTGCGGCGCCGCCCTCGCCGCCGTCTAGCGCCGCCGTCGCGCCCACAGTGGCACGGTCTGCACTGAGCGCCGGTACTGTCTGGCCGGCCCGCTCCCCTAGAAATTACTAACGGGGTAAATACGGGGGACGAGCCGGCTGGCTGCGTGTCTAGACGGCAGGGCGCACTGAGCGCGGCGGGTGCGTAGCGGTCATGGGCCCCGCGCGACAGGCGGTCGCCGCGGACCAGGACATGTGCGTGGCCGGTGGGCGTGTTGTCTGCGTGAGACCTCCAGACGTGCGGGGCGTGGCCCGGGGTGGCAGTGAACACGGCGGCACGCTCAAGTAGATGTGACATCGGTCGAAGCGACGCTCCTGGGCCAATCAAAAGGCGACGAATCAAACGGACCGGTGGTCTTCCGCACAGCTGTGAGGAGGAGGCCTGCCTGTATTTACGGCGACTGTGAGGAGTGTGGCGAGTGCTCGGCTACGAGGACGGCGAGGACACTGAGGGGACCGGCAGCTCTGGAGGACGTCGTGAGTCAGCAGACCGTGAGGCCGCCGAACAGACAGCAGGCCGGAGCCCGTCCGTGTGTGTTCTCCCCTGCCCGTGTGTAGGGCTGCTCAGGCGATTGTCAGGCCGACGCCGGGCCGACGCCCGGGCCGTGTCGGACCCGTGTTGAGCCGTGCCGGGCGCGGGTCGGCGCGATGCTGGGCACGTCCGGCGGGCCGCTGCCGGAGCGGGAGCGGGCGGCGCGCCGCCGGCCGGCCGCCGAGCCGCTCCGGCTGCTCGTGCCACGCACGCTCACCGAGGACATGCTGGTCGGCCTGGACCGGCTGGGCACGGTGACGATTGTGGTGAACCAGCGACCGCGGGCGGCTGGCGGCCAGCTGCAGGCGCCTGGCGTCAGCTCGAGCGCGCTGTGCGAGACGGCGCGCGCCGTCATCTCTTCCGGCGACGGCGAGCTCGCCAGAACGGTCAGCTCCAGCGGCCGCGGCGACGGCGAGGCGGACCACACCGGAGCGGACGGCGAGACGCCGCAGACCGTGAGCTCCAGCGGACGCGGCGACGGCGAGCCGGCACGCGCGGTGAGCTCCAGCGGACGCGAGCGGGCGGCGCCGGGTCGGATCATGTCGCCCCGATCGAGGCCGGCTCGCGCCGCAAAGGTGACGCGTGTGGAACGTGCGGCGGGTCCTGCCGTTCAGTCGCCGCATCTCCGGAGCGCCGCTGCCGACCCGTTGGCGTGGTCTGCCGAGCGGGCCGGCTCGGCGCGGCTGGCACCGCGGGACGATGAGGCGGAGGACAGGTCGGCCCCGGTGGCTCCAGGCGGCGCGCCGGCCGGCCAGCGGGCGCGCCAGGCGGCGATGACGCGGCGCCAGGGGCAGCGGGAGGTGGCCGCCGGTGCTGGGCGGGTCCTGCTGCTGGTGACCCCCACCAGCGGCGGCCGATCCCCGGCCGGCGGTCGCCGAGGTCTGGCCAGTCCGGAGGCGCCTACCGTCGACCCGGTCTTTGCCGAAGCCGGCAGCGGCGCCCACCAGGCGAACGGCAGCAGCACGATCAGCACTGCGCCCTGGACCAGGGATTCCCTGCGGCTGCTCGAGCTCCAACAGTCGAGATCGGAACGAGGGAGGAACAGTGCTGGTCAGCGCAGGCGTACCCTCTCCGAGTCTCTTCGCGGGAGGATCGCCAAAATCGAATCCTTCGAAGGCGAGCTGGATGACGCGAGCGCTGCAGGCGCCGGGGTGAACAAGCACGACGCCGTGCCCGTCATTAAGAAGGAGCTGGTCTCGCCGAGGGGTGAGGTGGAGCTTTGTGCGAAGGGCGACTCTGCGTGTGGCGGGAGCACGCCGGCCGCAGCGGCCGACAGCTGGAGGGCGGTCGGCTCGGGCGGCCGCTGCCTGAGCAGCCCGAGCCGGTCGTGCGCGGACGCCTCCGGCCCCCAGAGCAGTCCGCGAGCGGCGGCGCTGCAGCAGCCCTTGGCGGGCAGCCCTGAGGACGGGTGGTTCACCGCGGGGGCGGCGGCGGCGGCGGCAGCAGAGCAGGAGCACGACGGCCGACTGGACGGCGGGTCGCCCGCCGCCGCCGACGCCGCCGCCGCCGGTGCGGGGGGTGCTGAGGCCCCAGGAGGAGACGGAGGCCGAGTCGACGGCCGACCTTCTCGGCTTGGAACGGCCCGGTGTCGTGTCCCTGCTTCTGGGCCAGCCGCCGGAGGAGATGGTCAACTTGGTGTTCCGCGGCGACGACATCGACGACCTGGAGCTGGACTCGTCGGACGCGATGATGCCAGGTGATGACGATGACGCCAGGTGACGTTTTAGATCAGAGACGAGCGGCCCCTGCTCGACGGCCAGCCAGAACCGCGCTCCGGCGCGGGAAACGCAAACCCGCGCGACTGCGTTGCCCATGTGCAACATCGATGGTCCGATGAGGTCTTCCTGGAATCACGCCAGGCTCCGGGACGTCAAATGTAGCTCATCCGCGTGGTTCTTTATTTCTTTTTCGTTCGTTATTTTGTCCAACTGAATCATATGCATTGCGCGAATTAGGTGTACAGCATCACACACGGTCATGCGCCAAACACACCCGGATCCGAGCGTGCTGTCGCAAACAAATCGCCGCGGCTGCTGCTGGTGATTGTACACGCTGTCGTGCTGGCGGTCAGCCGCTACCGGGAACGGACGACGCGATGTAGACTGGCTGTTTCCCGGTTCGGTCGGCTGGAAAGCAATCTCCTGGCCTCAGCATTTTTAGGTGCACGTGCTCCGGCGGCGGGCAGGTGAACCCTGCCGACGGTTTTTTGTTTTGGCGCGCTTTTTTCGATGCTCCCGCCAGACGGCGCGTGGTTTTTTGCGTCGGACTTTTTCATCGTCTGGCTCGCCGTCCCCTCGCCAAGTTCAGACGTATTAGCGGCCTGCAGATGCGACAGACAGGGGAGGGACCGGACGGAGGGGGGGGGGGGGGGGCGGGGGTCTGTCTGGGCGCACCGCTTTCAGGCGAGGATGCATGGGGATGGCGGGTGTCAGGAGTCAATGCAACGGACTTGGACATATAGGACGGCGGATACGGGAGACGACGGGCATAGCGTTGGTGTATTCATACTCGGATAGGTAAGTTATCAAAGTATGGGAGTGCTGCATGCTATGGACACAATGCTCTCAGTAGCAGCCTTGTGGAAACATAATCTTGAAAAACTGTGTTCGAGGCGGAGAATGCTTAGACGATTTATTCTCGTATTCTCGATTAGACTCGTAGAAACGCCTTTCCGTCACTTCTATTTTTAATTTAGCTTTATTAGTTATTTACTGAAAAAGTGCCGAGATTACGAGACGGCGCTTAACAGAACGTATGTTGTTAACACTCACCCGGCCGCCATTGGCTGGAAATGTGGAACAGTTGTGCCCCAGCCAATTTGTGGAATAACTTTGCTGCCGGCTATGAGTCCAACGTGACGCCTCGGGCGTCCATGGCAAAAGGTCCGCGCCTCGCGGTCTGCCTCGCAAGGGGATGCTGCAATGTACGCTCCGTTAAGGTTTTGGTGCGTGGTTGTTAGTACGATTAGTGCTTGGTGTTATTTGTTATTCATATGCCCATTAAGGACTCTTGCGTCAATATGGCTTATGTTATAGTGTCCTATAAAACTCGCGATTTGTAGGGGAAATGCGGCGTTGTGGGCGGAGATAAAATTCCAGTGTTGATGCGCCGCTTCGTCCGCATAGTCCCTGCCAATGACAGAGCGCACGGCAACTGCATTAACCAGAATAGGTTTAATCTGCCGAACAGGGGCGCAGCCAGCGTGTTCTCAAGGGCGTCGTCTGGCGGAGCTCGGTTAGTACACATCACGCCCATTTAACTTTCTTTCGGGAAACTTCCTTTCTATGGTGAAAAACAAAAGCAAATCCCGGGTCTAGAGGGTGAGGGGGGGTGGAGGGGGGGGGGGGGGGGGGCGCTCCTTCCTCCGTTGGCTGCGGCGCTGCTGTACACGAGTAACGACGGTAGTCCGACGCCTGTCCGAGAGGGGGGGGGGGGGGGGGGGGGCTCCTTCCTCCGTTGGCTGCGGCGCTGCTGTACACGAGTAACGACGGTAGTCCGACGCCTGTCCGAGAGGTGGCGTGGCGAGATGGCACGGCTCCCGCCAGTAACGGGAGCGGAGCGGGATACTGAGACTTGGCGTTTTATGTCTAGAAACGTCACTTGGCAAAATTTTTGAGGAGTCTGGCGTGGCGAGCCCATTGCCTTGCCTAACCCAAAACTCGATCTCTCCCCGGACTTGGGTCACTTTATCGTCGTTGCTGGAGTCGCCGTCCCCCCGCTGTGTCGTGTGTGCACATGCACCAGGCGAGGCTGGTGTACCTGAATCACTCACTCGCCATCACTGTGACAACATCCGGACCCATTTCCCTGCTCTCATGCCTTGGCTTGTTTACAGGTGAAGGATCGAGGCACATATCGACGTCATCTGTGGCTTCCATTGAAGGTGAGCCACTGGGCATGCTGCGGGCTGTGCGGCACGTGTCTGCGCAAAACATGGCTGCGCGCGTGGTCGTTTTGCAGGCCCCCATGCCGTCGGACTCAGGAATGGCGGCCCGCTGTTGATTGTCGATGGTCCGCCTGCGCAGACGACGCTCACGTATCGCACCACTCGACGACATGGCGACGCGTTCAGGCCGGTGGCTGGGAGATAATGGCTCTACACTGTTTTCCGAGCGACTTTTTTGTTTTGTTTTGAGCTTTACGCACTTCTAAGCTGCCACTACCTATATCAGCTTGATTCGAAAAACACTGAGACAGTTGAAAGACCAGTTTTGAGTTGAATGCTTGGAAAGTTGTGTTGCAGTCGCATTAAAGGCATAGTCTTTTGGTTGATTCCGTTACCTGTTTGAGAGAACTTGGTTGTTCTTTAGGCTTGAACAATTGTGCTCATTTGATCATGGACAGGGGTCTTTTGAGGAGCAAATGTGCGGTAGTGATATTCCTTTTGCCCCAGTCTTTTGTCCATAGCCCAGCAGCCTAAAACATGACGGTTTTAAGTGACAATTCCAGTTGTTGAGTGTTTCCTGGGCCTAAACAGGAACTGTCTGGAATCAGAGTTGTCTGTTCCAAGGGAAAATGAAAATAGAAGACTTGCCTAACCGGCCCACTGCCACTGCAAACCAAGCTGCGCGCCAGGCGCGGTCGGTGCCTATGGGGGGAAGAAGGGTCGCGGGTGATATTTGTTGTTGCCCGGTCTACTCTTGTGTGAAAATTACTTTCGTAGGAGGATATTCGATAAAACTGCGCGTTTCCCTGGCCAATCGCTACACGTTGCCACACTGGTTTGGAGATTACGGCTCTGAAGACTTGCCTGCCCATTGAAGCGCAGATGCGTGACGCAGCGGTCGTTATAGGCTACCGCCGCGCGTGTCTTTATTGTTACAAAAGGCAAAGCTTATATCAGAAAGCGCTGACTGTTGAGGGCGAAAATGCTTCATCAAGAGGCTCACAACGTTCAGTCGTACAGCCAATCTCCTTGTGTGACCAAGGCGGCTGTGAGCTAGTGCCATCTAGCGGATTTCGCAAAAGCGTTGGCCTGCGAGCTCCGCAGCTGTGCTGAGCATGGGCACCGTTGGACTCGGTCGGCCTGCACCTGTGAGCCGTCCACACAGCTGGGCCCGGTGACCTTATCAAGGAGGTTTAGAGAATCCCGGGGCTTCCTTTTTGCCCCCGACATATTTTGATGCTTCAGAGCGTTGGACGATGCTCGTTGCGCTCACGTTCACTGAGGCGGATGGTTCGTCTTCTCAGTTAGGTGTTTAGCATTCCCACGTACCCAACATAATTGCGGGACCGTCCTGCGCCTTTTCAGTTCCATCTCGCCTATTCCGGCGGTCATGCTTGAAACAAATTGGTGTTCATTTGACTCGGGAGCATGTTTCCAAGTACTGTAATTTACCAAAATATGAAAATGACAGAATTGGGCCATGTCCATGAAGCTAATGGAAACGTAATGGTTTCCACTGATGTAACTATCCCCCAATATGGCAAGCGGCGGATGGGCAATGTGAGGTTGATGGCCACAGTGTTGGTTTACTTCGAGAAGGAATTAACGAATATATTGTCAATTAGTGGCACCTCTCTAGCAAAGACCTCATCCATCATGCCTCCGGACTTCCGGCTGGCGCCTGCTCGTTGCTTTCTCTTCAAATTGTTCCTGCTGCCCCGTTTGGTACGCGGTATATGCATAACCACGATGTTATTAGTGTCTTCGTTTAGAAAGCAAAGGCCTGGCGATTGCAACGCCAATTACGAATACGGGATATGGAGTATTTTGAACGCCAAGGGAGACGGGTAGGTGAACTCGAAATGCGGAAATGTATTGGCAACACTGATGTGGTATTATTCAGCACCCGTTCAGGTGGATGGGGGGGGGGGAATTTGACTTCCCCCCAAAGGTTTTCCGCAACGCAATTTCAAACGGTGCGGCGTAGTTGCACCAAATCTTGCTTAGCTATAGGCAATTGAATAACTGGATCGTTTGGTGTCAAATATGTAGGTGTACGTGGTGAAGTTACCTACGGCAAGTCAAAGTCAGGCCGTGGATTCGGCGAAGCAGATTTTTAGTAAATTGTTCAATCTGATGCAACAACGGGATTTTAGACGAAGCCATACAATTCTGAGATACTTACTTAGGCAACAAAACGTTGAATAAACAAATTGCGTTAACCCAGGCAGGGTTAGGTTTGAAAATCAAATCAAGGTCAAAACCAACCTGTTTTATTACTCCTGAGATTGCTGTATGGGGTAGGTTCTGCTGCTCATTTCGAATTTGTTAATAACAGGAACTGCATTATACATCTTCCATGGACTTCTTTAAGGTCAGAATAGATCACTGACTTAGCAAAGGTCACTGACCTGATCTACAACATACTGCCTAGCGTCATCTTTGACGTTTACTCAAATGCAAAACTCAAAGCAATCTTGTATGATTTTGGTCATGTTAACCTTGGAAAGGTCAAACAAGGTCACTGACCTAGATGCGCATCAGCAGCCTTTTGCTTAAAACAGGCATTTAGGTTCTGGGTGCACTTCGGACACCGGGCTGGAGTTTAACTTTGCTTGACTTTATTTGACCCAAGGTCATGACCAAAACCTCATACTTTGACGCAAGTGAATTCACGGACAGGCCAGCGCACCTGAATTTTGTGTGCCTAACTCTCTAGTTTCTGAGATCTC